TCCCGCATCCTCCAAATCCGGATCGTCCACTCGAGGTTCTTGATTTGTTTGATCAATGCCGTCTGCAGCTCTGTCATCACCAGGCCATCCTTCCGATTGACCCAAACCATCCGCTCTCCAACCCATTTGTTGTGGTTGTAGAGCTCGCTCTTCGGGATTGGTGTGCGTTCCGCTAGTTGTACCTAATGAAGATGAAGCACTAGATGTTGTCTCGTTGAGATGATCAGAAGTGGCATTTGCAGTTTCTCCAGAAACCGATGCAGTTGTGGCAGCGGTAGTACCAACATCCGGATCGACACGCTGAGCCACATCCGCAGCTGGGGCATCGGGACCGGGAGCTTCTGCAGCACCCGGGGCTCCATTCGCTGCGCCAAATAAGTTAAATAAATCCGGAAATACATGACGGCGTCCATTGACCCCACCATCTGATAAAGTCAATGATGACATGAAAATGGGGAAAGGTTAAAGCATATGGTGCTCAGGCGTCGACGGATTTTCATTCGTTCTTTGAAACTTTAAACGACAATGTAAGGCTGAGCAAAACAGCTGATTGAGAAACCAACGGCTAACCACTAACCATGAACAATCGTATAAAAATCAGTTTTGCGGACAAGATATCTAACTTTTTAACTATCAGGGGAAACAAACCAAGTTGTGTCTCTGTTACGACATTTAACTAGTAAAAATATTTAACATTTTAGCATCGAATAATGACTGCGACGATCGCCAGATGATAAACATCAGTCCCTGCCAGTGATAAAGTGGTTCTGAATAAAGTACCCGTTAAAACGAAGCTAGTCGGGGGACGTTTCAATGGACGATGAATCGAAACACGTGTCACTGAAAGGCACAAAATGATCGCTGATCAGAACGCACGATGAGCGAATGATTGGAAATGAGATGTCCATTAGGGTTAAATAATTCGGCTAAGGTCGACAGTATGCTTCTCTAGGTACTGCTATTTATCCACCAAATTCACATGGAATATGAATGCTCCAGTGGTACAAGGTCCTATTGATAGTATGTGTGGCGGTTCGTAAATCTTGAGGATGAAAATATATGGCCTCAGCGAGATCTTTGTAGTTGGTAATTATATCTGATGAAGATCATGAGATCTTATGAGATTTCGGCACTAAAGACATCTGCTGCGTCAATCTGGTTTTTGTGAAGGCGCAGCTCTAACCCTTGAAGGATCAAGTGCGGAGTACAAGGTGTTAGTGCTACTGTCTGATTGTTGATGCTTCTACATATAGGAGCACATTCACCATTGGATAGAGTTGAATGTAACTCAGGCATCCATGCGCTCCCATTAGTCTGACAGATCTTCTTGGTAGCTGTCCATCGAATACAGAGCAGCTTCCTCAAGACACTACACTGCAGTTTTTAGGCTTCGATCACCCTAAACTTCAATCTATTCGACTGTCGAAAATTCCTTCGGGGTGTCGCTGTTGATGATGATGTCCCAGTAGCTTGGAGTTGTAAGAATTGGGTAAAGGATGGGGAACAGAGGAACACAACAACTGACCAGAGTTCATGTCAAGCCAAGAAAAGCTCTTTGCGTCAGGAGGAGTGAATTTTCGGGGTGCTACTTCGACCAGTTACCCCTTAGATCTTCCTCCAATTCCACTATGCTAGTATCTTGCTTCAACGCTGTGGGACTGAGGTAGAAGCGACTGGAAGTTGATTCATGGCCGTGTACTGGAGCAAGAGGACAGGAAAAACGATAGACAAACCTTACCATTTCCGGCAACCGCGTCCTGTTCGAGCCAGGCAGGCCCACCACCTTGAAGTAGCTGTTCCCGCAAGGATATATAGCCCAAAAATGCTGCCGACGCCAGAATCACAATTGTAAAACCCTGAGAAAGCAGGTGAAACGATAAAATGTGGTTCGGATGTGTACCCACAAACGCGACGAGGTCAAATTGATCACAATAAACACCGAAAGAATGAAGCAAATACATGTGAGTACGAAAAAATGCTCTCTCGAAATCGACCATGCCTGTTTGATGGCATTGTGGTTTTGGTGAATGAGAGTCCATGAGCAGTGAATCAATAAATAGCCTGGTTACACAAATGCGCAACATTAAGTGAATTCCCGGCATTACATACGATAATTAAACTAACTACGAACAAGCACGCACTCCTAGTCTGTCCTACACAAGTCAACAGTGTCGCGGATTACTGGGAAAAGGACGGAAATACACCAGTATTGTGTACAAAGAACGCAACCTGTAATATAGTCGGAAATTAAGTGCTAACCTGACCTACCTATCGGGGGCTCATGTGGGTCACCTCTCAGTGTCTCAAGAATGAGGGGTACTACCGACACTTTATTTAAGATTTAAAAACACGTGAAGAAGTGACGAAAGTTGATGATGATGATGAACAAACGTCTCAATCGGCGATCAGCGATAAGCGGACATTGCCGAATCTGCAACACATGCAGTGAAACACCGTGATGAGGAACGAAGCAAAACGCAATTCAGGT